AAAATTAATCAAAAGAGATGGGGAAGAACACTCCATATTCATCAATGGAAAACTCCACCAATATGACATTTAGATTCTTAATATCTATGCCCCAAACACAAGGCCTTCCACTTTTGTAAAAGAAACACTTCTAAAGGTTAAATCACAAATTGATTCTCACACAGCATTTGATAGTAGTAGACTTGAATACACCACTCTCGCCAATGAATAGGTCATCCAGACAAAAACGAAACAGGGAAATATTAGAGCTAATGGACTTTATAAACCAAATGAACCTAAGAGATTCTGGCACAAATGACAGCTCCAGAGACCTTCTCTGAACACCCCACACCAACCAGGGCATGGCTTGTGTCTTCCTTACAACTCCCTACAGCAGAGGCAGAGAAGAATCCTGGAAAGAACCTGCAAGCTACCTGCCACTAGTACTCCTGATTGCTAAGCCTTCCCAGAGTCCCTCATTGGCTAGGGTCACCCAGCTGGGCCTCAGAATATTACCAGCTCCCCTACTGGGTGATCAGAGATCAAATCACTTAGATAGCAGTCTTTCCTGCTCAGTCTTCCAGCCCAGTGGACAGTACAGGGCCCTAGTCTAGAAAGCATTTTAGTAGACATTCTTACACTCTCCTAGAGCACATTCTGTTCCTCATCCAAACAAAGCACATTCCATTATACAATCAGTGTGCAGTGCAGCCAACCCATTGCCGGGTAGTGGGGTAACCCTGTAGCCAAAGCCAAGCATAGGTCATATGCACACAGTGGCTGTTGTTACTATGTAACTGTTATTAAAGAAAAACAGGCCATTTATTAGAAAATAATGAGGTTTCACGGTAGAACTTAGGGACAGGAAAGAGAAAGTGAATATGATGTAGCTATACTATAATCCCAAAAACTTATTTTGAGAAGTTGAAACAGGCTTTTTGGCCCTGTCCTCCAGAGACTAAGGATTTGTATTAGAGCACATCAAAGATTTCCCAAACCTTTTATCTCAGGGTGTAGATCTAAAACCAGGAAAATAACAGTTCTGGTAGGCAGGACCACACATTTTACTCAGATCTATTTCGATTAAACTACAACTATAGCAATTTGGTTTCATGATAAGGTCAGTCATTTATCCAGATTTTTTTTTTTTTTTTTTTTTGGTTTTTCGAGACAGGGTTTCTCTGTAGCGTTGGTGCCTGTCCCGGAACTAGCTCTTGTAGACCAGGCTGGCCTCGAACTCCCAGAGATCCGCCTGCCTCTCCCTCCCAAGTGCTGGGATTAAAGGCGTGCGGCACCACCGCCTGGCTCAGATTCTTGATTGCCCTGGTCTGTGGACCCCAAGAAATGGCAAATCAGGACATGTATGGAACATCTAAAATTGATTACCTAGTTCCACATCTCAATCTCAACTACTGTTGAAATAGGAAAGCTCTCGCCCATTGGTCCTGCCTCTCCCTTTCTGTACTGTGACTCTACCGGCTTCAGGCTTGGTCTATGAACTTAATTCTTGCACAGATCCCTCTTCATTTTTAAGTCCCCACTAAAAGTCCAAGAGATTGAAGGTCACCCATTAACTGGTCTATTTTTTTCTTCTCACTGACCAGTCAAGGCCCAGCCCTGAAGGAGTTGCAGGATTATCTAACCAGCACTGGGCAGCAGAGGCAGGATTAGGTGTTCAAAGCATTTCTCAATTACATAGCCTAAGGCAGTGATATTGCAAGCACATTGTCTCCCACGCCAGGATGGCAGAGCCTCTCCCTCCCCTGGGAATCCACACTCAACAAAGCTCAAAGGGCAAGGGCCACTACCTAGGTCACCACAGGGACAAACAGAACCTCAGTCTGGCTCATCATCCATCCCTGTCCAAACAGCTCTGACAACTCAGCCAATCTTCTCTTTCTGGTCTGGGGACAGTGGTTCCTACACTCATCAAGGCATGACTTGTGGTCCTTACATCAGAATAAGAGGAGACTCCTGGAAAGAACCTGTAAGCTACCTCTTACCGGTGCTCCTAGTTACCAAGCATTACCAGAGTCCCTCATGAGCTAGGACCACCCAGCTGGACTTCAGGACATTATCCCCTGATGAGTGAGCAGAGAGCAAAAACCTTCCCAGGTTTGCCCTTCCACACTATGGGTGCATACGAGCCTCATGTGAGAAATTTGTAGTTGAGTAAAACCCTCCATTCTCCCAGAGTACTTCCTGTTCCTCCTCTAATGCACAGGGTTCTAGGTGAACACATTCCATTATACACTCAATGTCCAGTGTAGCAAACCCTTTACTTCATAGCTGGGAGGTCCTGCAACCAAACACAGGTCACATTCAAACAGTAACTGTTGATAAAAAAGAGGCCATGGGTTAGACCACAATGCAAGGTCTATGGGAGGGCTTGGAGGCAGGAAAGAGATAGTGGAAATAATGTAATAATAATTCCCAAAAATTCTATTAAAAAGTTAAAACAGGCTTGATGGCCAAGTGCTCCAGAGATGAAGAATTGTTTTAGAGCATACCAAGTACTACTTACACCATTTTTTCTTGGCGTATACATCTTAAACCTGGAAAACACAGTCATATTAGGCAGGCCCATACCATTTTATCCAGTCCTTCTATTTTGCTTGAATTACTGTAACTACAGTAATTTGGTTTAAAGGTTAGTTCAGTTTTTACATAGATTCTTGAATGTCTGGTCTGTGGACCCAAGAGATGGCCAGTCAGAATATATATTGATCATCTAAAATTGATTACCTCACTATTCATTGCTAATGTCAACTATATTAGCGTTCGCCTTCCTTCCTGCCCCTCCCCTTCTCTGCTGTAACTACACCTGTTTTACAGTTGTCAGTGGACTCAGTTCTTACACAGGCCCCACCTCACTTGTAAATTCACAATAAAATCTAGAGAATTTAGAGGATATTCATTCATTGGTCTCTATTTCCTTCCCACAGACCAGTCAAGGTCCAGCCTGGAAGGAGTTACAGGACTGTCTTCCCAGAACTAGTCAGAAGAGACAGGATTAGATGTTCAAAGCAATTCTCAATTACATAGTGTGAGGCAAGCCTGAGCTACAGGAGACATTGATATAGATCAGTGGTTCTCAACCTCCCTAATGCTGTGACCCTTTAATACAGCTCCTCATGATGTGGCTACCCCCACTAAAAAAAATACTTCACTGCTACTTCATAACTATATTTTTGCTACTGCTATGAATTATAATATAAATATTTGTACTTTCCAATGATCTTAGGCCAGTCCTCTGACAGGGTTATTTGATTCCCTGAAGGGAAATCCTCCAAGGCTGGGAACTCCTGCCCTAAACTGATATAAATAAATCAGCACTTAAGAAAAAAATGGAACAAAATCCTTAAACTGGGAAACACTGAAAAGTAAAAACAAAAACACAGTAATGCATTTAAAGAAAATAAATGTTAAAAATGATACCAAAAATTAAAGTTTTAAAATAATAAAAATAGGAAGAACACTTATCTATACTGACTTTGAAATGGAATAGGTACTTCCCTGATAGAGAGAATGCCATTAATAAGAGACTGTGTGACTTTGTCTCATTTAAAATGCTAGTCACTTAGTGCCATAAGCGAACGCATGAAGTTACAGCCAAACGCCTGCCTGTTTCCCCAACCTCTCAGCTGACTTAACTGTGTCAACCAGGATTGCACACATCCGCATAGGAGAGCTCGCTAACTGAAAACTGAACACTTAGTAGTTCAACCTATCCTTGCTAAACTGTATACCCATCAATTCTGTCATCTTCATTCACTTAGAAGGAATTAATACAAGCGGGGAAATTACATAGAAAGTCATTCCTCCTCTGGAATGGAGACCCCTGAAGTGCACCACCTCCAACTTCAGTCTGTGATGTAGCTATTGTCTGGTCTGTTTCCTCCCGCAATGCGCCCAGCACACTGTTCCTCCTCTTCCCGTCTGAAGGGAGAAGCCACGCTCCACACAGAAACCCTTTCCCTGTTCTGCAATGGGTAGTCCACTATGTGACTCAAACTGGTCCTTTTGGAGCTCTGTGGTGCGGCAGACCTGCTATCCAAGGTTTAGGGTGTTTAGTCACGAGGAGAACAAGAGCAATGCCAAGCATTACTTGAATGACAGGGTTCAAGTAATCTCAATCAAAATAGGAGATCTTGACTCAAAATTGCTTTTCAAAAAGAGTGGTGATGCCATGTTCTAGAATTAACCTACCTTTCTGGCACACCGGGACTTAGCACAGGTTGGGACCCTGAAATGGTCACCCGAGCAGCATTTACAGGCAGGTGTTTTTTCTGCTGGTTGAAAAGGAGGGTGAGGGTTGTCTCCTTTGTTATGGGAATGTAGCTGGCTAATCCTGGGGGACAAACACTTGCATCTCATCATGCTAATTTCTAACAAGTATGATTAGCATACATACCACTTACCTTTGTGGTATTTGGGATGCAGCTCTCCCTTACCTAAATTCCACTTTGTGACTGAACGTTTCCTCAGAACTGGTGAGTCCTTTATTACCACCAATTCTACTCTTCTACATCACAGTTTAGCAGTGGAGTTCTACTCTACATAGGAGATACTGTTTACAAGCTTCATAGAACTACCTCCAGACGCCTCCTAAACCTAAATGTTAAATCTTAAAAGTGCAGAACTTCTGGAAGATACTAAAGGGACCAGGGCTGAGTTTCTTCGCAAATGTGTTCCACTGCGACAACACAAGCCCTAAGGACGCCGGCATTTGACAGTGACGTCAACAACAGGGATCTCTCCAAACGCAGTCCCGTTCCCGATGGTCTGCGTAGATGCAGCCAACGAAGTGAAGTTACTCGAAGGCTGCCAGCCAACCCCAGGAATTGCAAAGACCATGCAGGATTTGCAGGAGCATGCAGACCATGCTGGAGTATGCAGGACCAGCAGGAACACTCTGGACCATCCTGGCTCCCATCCGGCCAGGGGTGCACCCACCACACTGACTCCCTCGGCTCAACTAGTCGCTCCTCCCAGTCTGGGGATAGCAGCCTGAAACTCACCATGTCGTGGTTTTCCAGCTTGCCCATGCGCTCTGCTCAGCTCCCAGCCACAGCACTCACAGCACAGGACAAAACCACTGGCGCCAGCTTCTCTTCAAAGCCAAGCCTGAAGCTGGCGGCCGGAAGGACCCTCACAACTTCTGACTGGCAGGTCACCTGGAGGGTCTGATTGGCTAGTGAAACCTGAGTGACAAGAGCACCTGCCATAGGGCTCTACTGTGCTTAGAGACAGAGCACATAGGTTCCTGACCCTGCCTTCCACCCCAAAGACCTTTTCTAGATCAGCAGAGATAGGCATTTCAATAGCATCTGCCCCAGGCTCCAGTAGCAGAATCTGCTAACTTCCTGCATTCCATAGGCACGCCCGTCTTCCTCCAGGACGTAATGTGGCTAGGTAGCTTGTACAGTCCACTACACTATGTGGGGTGGCGTCATTCCCTGACACACAAGTGGAAGGGTACGCAGAACACTGACAACTAAGGACACAAAAGGAGAGGTTTGTTAAGTGGCTACACACGGAGGTCAGGTGAACTGAAGGTTACAGGGACTTCAGACAACCAGGAAAGAAAAGCAGGAACTAGATCATTAGCGAGATAATAGGTCTTTCTGTCACCAGAGAGCTGGATGATGGCTCCATTGTTTTAGGAGTTTTATTCCTGAAATTCAGAGCAAACAGTTGGCAAATCAATAGTACTACAGAGGAGTGTTCATACAAAGTAGAATACTTAGAGACTAATGGAGCTAGGAAGAATGAGTTTATGATCGCTATTATTAGTCAGCACATAGTCCTCAAAGGGCATTGTAGATAGAGCTCAGGGCAGCTTGGTACCCACTGCCCCTTGGCTCCACTCCTGCCATGCCAAGATAGAGACCTGAGTTTTCAGTTTACCCTAAAGCAACACCTGACTCCAGGAAAAACCACAAACTGGGACAACCCAGGCACCACTTTGGAACGGACCAATCAGCATCCAAGAGGAAAGTACTGAACATTCCAACCATTGTAGGTGGGATTACCATCCCCTTTCACCAAGACACTCTTAGACAAATGTCAGCCAATCAGGGGTCCTGAACCTTAGACATCCCTCAACCCAACCTCTGCTATGATAAAAACAAAACAAAACAACAACAACAACAACAACAACAAAAACCACCCCAACTGAGCTGGAGGCTCTCTGATTGTGTCAATGCACTGGACACACCAGAGGATCCAATTTTGAACTTGATTAAAGGCTCTTTGCTTTTACATATGGGATTCGGTCCCCTTGTTGGTTTTGGGGCGGGGGTGAGGGGAACTCTGTGATCTGGGCATAATACAGAGGTAAAAAAGAGAATCACAACAGCATTATTCAAGTTCTCTACCTGAACAGGACTGGTAGAATGAATCTGTCCATGCATGCAGAGAGTTGATTTATTAGAATGTCTTACAAGCTGTGGTCTAGGTAGTCCAACAATGGCTGCCTACCAAAAGAAACATGAGGAGTCCAGTAGTTACTCAGCTCTACGAGGCTGGATATCTCAGCTGGTCTTCAGTGTACACCAACAATCCAAGGAAACAGGCTCAAATGCTGGCAAAGGTAGCCAGAGTTAGGGCAAGCAGGAAAAGACAGAAAGAGAGCTTTCTCCTTCAATGTCCTTTATATATGTAAGCTGCCACCAGAAGGTGCAATCCAGGATAAAGGTGGAGCTTATTCTTTATTTGATTTTGTTGTTGTTGTTGTTGTTGTTTTTGAGACAGGGTTTATCTATGTAGCGCTGGAACTCATTCGGTAAGCCAGGCTGGTTTCAAACTCGAAAATCTGGCTGCTTCTGCCTCCTAAGTGCTGGGGTTAGAGGTGTGCACAGCCTCCAAGCAACTGAAGTGCACAGCATCTCAAACAATCCAGATTAAAGATGGGTCTTTAATTTCAAAGTCTTTTTTTTAAAAAAAAAATCCTCATAGGTCTATCCAACTCTTTGGGTCTTAGTTAATTCCAGAGGCAGTCAGTTTGACTACCAAGAATAGCCAACCTAGATAGAAGAAATGAGAAAAATTTCTTACTTGCCAGAGGCAGGGAAAACATGAGAGTTTTTTTTTTTTCCAAAACATTTATTTTCCAAAACAGAGGAAGCATGGGGATTTTACTTAGGCAGTCTGGACATATTCATGTAGAGTTCTACCTATTCCTAAGCAGGCTCAGTTAACAAATCCATTTCTGAACATGATCACAATGTAAAAGCAGAGACATTTAGGGGCGTTCTTACTTCAAAGTCATGCAAAACATATAAATTTTTAAAATGATGGAGAGAAATGCCTCTGGCATGTTCATTTTGTACCACATGGTCTTAGTTGAAAATCTGATAAATGACACAGTGAAAGATTGCTTTGGAGCCTATGTGACCTGTCAATCCTGATGTTTGATGGGGAATATTATTTTAAGGTGAGTTGCTTTTGTTAATGTTGCATTTGTTTACTCTGTGAAGCTGAACTTCTTTGCGTGTCTAAAATACCTGATGAACTAATAAAGTATTGGCTGAACAGCAAATAGCAAGGCAGGAGCAAGGATAAGTGGGGCTGGCAGGCAGAGTATAAGTAGAAGGAAAAACAAGGAAGAAAAGGAGCAAGACAACAAAGAGAGGAGGACATCATGGGCCAGCCACCCAGCTACAGAGCAAGCCATGGAGAAAGAATTAAAAAAAAAAAATAAAAAAAGGTGTATGGAAAAAGAGAAAGATAAAAGCCCAGAGTCAAAAGGTAGGCAGGAGAATTTAAGAAAAGCTGTCAAGAAACAAGTCAAGCTAAGGCCAGGCATTCATAATAAAGAATAAGCCTCTGTGTGTGATTTATTTGGGAGCTGAGTGGTGGCCCCCCAAAGACAAACGAGTAAAACATCACACAACATTCAATCTAAAAGATAACTGGACCAATGCCACAATTCTCATAGATACAAAGGATAAAGAACACAACTACAGAAAATGTCAAGGGAAGGTCACTTCACAGCACTGTATACTCTGCTCTTAGATGAACGGTTACCATGAGCTCTGTTAACCTCAGAACAAAGCTGCCTGGCTCAGTGGAAGGCCAGAGCTGCTTCCATTCAAGACCAGAACGAGTTCATTTTAACTAGCCCTGGCTGTTCTCTGTCTCAGGGCTCTGACATCATTGTAGAAAATTCCATTCTCTCCTTTTTCTAACTTTTTTAAAATTTGGTTATATGGGTGTTTTGCCTGCATGTGTCTGTGCACAGCACTTAGAGAGAAGCCAGAAGAAGGCAGGAGGTGCCTGGGACTGGAGTCACAGCAAATGGTTAGCTGCCATGTGGGTTATGGACATGGAACTTGGCTCCTCTGTAACAACACCCAGTGCTTTTAATTTCTGAGCATCTCTCTAGTCCCTCTTTTATTTAAAATTTATTTCCATAAATTGATAATTTAATGATATTACATCACTTTTCCCTCTTATCTCTTCTTTTGCTCACTTCCCAAATCCCTTCCATCATCTTCCTTGTTAAGTATGGGTGAATAAGTATGCTGAAATATATGAATACAACTTGCTGCATCCATTTCTGTTGGTTGTACATATATGGATAATTGGTTGGCCATGTTGTATTGAATAAACAGTAAGGAATCTCATCCCTGCCTGAGGCTTACTCTCTCAAATCTATTTTTTATGTTTATTTTTTTAAATTTTTTTATTGAGAAAAAGAAAAAAAAAGTTTCTGCCTCCTCCCAGCCTCCCATTTCCCTCCCCCTCCTCCACCTTTCTCCCCCTCCCCCTACTCCTCTCCCCCTCCCTCTCCAGTCCAAAGAGCAGTCAG